TCAGAACAAATCTGTGGTGACATCTCTATATTTCTCCATATAAGGGCAAACCCTAATTAAACCTGCCCTCTCTTACAAATACACAGGGTAATACACTGGATGAAACTAAAAATCCTGAGAAAATCATGTCTAGATAGTAGTATCACTAGTAGTAGAGCGTGACTAGCTGGTTCAACTTTGTTTGATTAGAGTTGGAGCTAAACTCTCCAGGACACCGACCCTCCAGGACCGAGTTTAGACAACCCTTGTCTAGCCCCTTATTTATTAGGAGGTCGCAACAGCAAAATGAACCACCAAGTAGCATATGTTTTTAAGCAGCAGATTCCCTTCCAGCCACAACGCAGTACTGGGATACACCCATACACTCTCATTTTGTTTACCCAATTTACCCATATTGATTGTCTTTGTACTGAGGGGGAAACCAGGAGGAAATTTACACAAACACAGGGAGAACATGCAAACTCAGAACAAAAACTATACAGAAATGGCAGCATGAACTCAAACCAGCAACCTTCTTCCATTGAGGTGACAGTCTTAACACCACAACACCATGCCTCCCTAAATAATTTCATGAATTTGTAAAATAATAAATTCAATAAATATTCCTTCAAAAACTTTGACCTCAGCACTTACTCTTAAACTAAATGTATAATAACTAGTTTCTTATATTTATGATCTCTGATAATATAATTGATTTAACTGAAGACAATTTTACGTTACCAATGCTCATTTTGCTAAGTAAACAAATGAATTGCAAAAAATGTGCTGAATCCAAATTCATTCACTTTGTCATGAGGCCAATAGAAAACTGACCTTGCTATTCTGCAATAAATATATCACCATACACATCTCTTAAACTGATTCTGATACTAGATTTATTTTTAACTGAATTTAGACTTATTTCAAACTACGAATTAAAACATAATTTTAAACATATCTTGACTTGTGAAAAAATGCTGCAATAATCACCCCTGTAGAAAACATTTTGCTAAACAAAGCTTTGCAGAATATGAATGCTAAATCATTTTCCCCCAGTAGGTGGTGCATACAAATCAATAATGACAGACTGTTGACCTTATTCATCGCATACAAGCAGGCCGCAGCCATTCCAATCTCTTTGGCACAAGACATCCAGTTTCATTCACTTCCATTTACTTTTTAGATGTTAAAAACAGCTTGTTAGGCTGCTTGATTTTGCAAGCTATTTTATTATCATATTATTCTGCTTTGTTTGTATAGTCATGGACACACTTGTTTGTAGAGCAAGTAGTTTGACTGTTTTCAGCCATTTATTATTTCTAGGCACTTCTACCATAGGCAACTGAATTAGAAGTTCTAAAACAGTCGCAAAAATGAGCACACTCCCACATTTTAGAATAAGGTCAATCGTATAGTTTTGAATGGGGAAAAGTGTAAGGTCAATACGACAAAAGAAGCCTGTCCTTTTAGTACAGGAGCCAAACATCAGCTGACAATTTTCAGGAGAGGGGCTTGAACCAGGCGTGATTTTTACAACAGTTTCCCCAGATGTTGTTAACCCTCTGGAGTCAGCAAATGCACTGGAATCTCAGAGAATACTTGTTTCACAGACATGAGAAAGATATCCACATAACAACTACAATTCAAAACAAATTCTCTCTGGTTTTGTCATTTGTATGAAATTAACTTGAGCATCAGTCAATCCTGTCAAAAGCATGTAATATGACATAGCAAATACTCAAAACTTGTAATCAAAGTGGCCACTGTCATTTTAGGAGGAGATTTGCCACTAAGACCAAGTTGTGAATTACTTTAGAAGAGCAGCAAGATGGGAAGAGGCATTATTCATAGAATGATCATTTTAAATGGCCATAAAGGCAGGCGGTTGGTGTCGTGATCTTTGTGACCCTTTGAGTGCGCATGTGCATTAGGTTGGGTAACCTGAAAAATTGCAGATTTTGTGTGATTCAAATGTTTAGAAACAAAACTTAACAGACACTTAAGAGACAGCTGCTGTTTAATTTTATTGGTGATTCCAAATATGAAGGTTAACCGTAAGCTTGGCAAACAAGTTTCGGAGAAACTGAGGTTTCCCCATTCAAACAGAATGCCCGAGCATACTAGCCGAGAGGCGTGTCAAAGATGGCCGCAGAGTGAAATGATTTACTATAAAGGGACTTTGGTAATGATCACCAGTGAAGAATGTTGAACAGTAAACAGCACTGTTTTACAATCTAAATGCAACCAAATAATTTACACATTTGATTACATGAAGTACAAGTATACTTAATTAAGCCCATTTATGGAAAAAAAAATTAAGTTTAATCTCATCTTCTCTTGTTGATCTGATTATACGCATGACTACCGGGACATGTTACGCAGCTGTCAATCAACTGGGTGGGCGAGGGGACCGCACTCCTACGTCAAGTTGCAGTCGGTCTGAAAACCTCTCCAATTGGTCCACCGTTTTTATGTTGTTAAAAAAAAAATTTTTATATCACCCCAATATGACCACCTATACACTATACCTACACATATTTCTGTCCAAACAGCTTGAAAAGTAGATTTTTCTCCATAGGTGCCCTTTAATAAAAGAATATGAATAAAGAAATAACATGCTTTCACATTACTTTCCTTAAAAATTTGCATTGAACATTGAACTACTTGCACCCCAACACTGCAAATAAGATAAACATATTTTCTGTTATATTTTTTTCAGTTTTGTAATGTAAAACTTCAAATGATTGCCTAAACAAGATTACTACACTACACTACTACGTTACAATGAAACTACCAAAATAAGGGATTTCATTTGATGCTGAAAAAAAGTTAAACCAGATTAATATAATAATATTCCTCTCTCATAATACTCATGTCATTTTATAACTTACTAATGTCCTTGACCAGCAAATCAGAAAAGTCCTCTGTAGAGCTGCAAAATATATTGTTTCAGCATCGATATCCCAATGTGTTCATCCACAACCAGGATTGTATTGAATCACTGTATTATTACTGTACTATTTATCGCAGAAAAATAAAATATTGCGTTATCAGATTTTTCCAAAATCGTTCAGCCCTAGTCTGCAGGACAGCACTTTTAGTTCTGTTTTAAGAGCTGGTGGAGTCAAATTGTGTTAAAAACAAAAGCACTTATCAACACAAAGTGCAGAGCAACAGTTTAACAAATCCCTTTTTTGTGCAATAGGGGGACTTTAAATTTGATTAATAAACTTACAATAACTGAGGGTTAATGTTAATCATCAACAATAACTACCTTCCTTACATCAGTTACATGTTTTCAGCTTTAAAATATTTCTGTCTGGGTCGGCCAGCTTTCAATCAGAGTGGGCCAGTGCCACCCTGGCCCTAACGGTATGTAGCCTCACCACTGCTCTACAGGAGATGTTAGACACAACACATCTACTTTCAAATACAGTATTTTTATGTTATCTTTGTTGTTTGTCCAAGAACTATGCTTTTTGATGTCAGTATTTGACACTTGTACGCTTGTGCAGAATAAAAAAATAATTTTCACAGTACAATTGTAATCCTGTTTACTCACTCTTGCATGTGTAACATTATGTTAGTAATGTATTACTTATTCTAATATGTTAAACCAGTTATTCTGCATGATATTCAGCTGTCACACTGTGAGATTATTTTCAGCATGTAAAGAACCATCATCATGTGCACAAGTATATTTTTAGTCATGAACTACCAGTGCTATTGTTCACAGGGTTCCTTGTATTTGGCTATTTAGTTGTAGAAAATAAGCTATGAACTTTACAAAACCTTAATGTGCTACTAATATGAGTAAAACTTCAACAGTGGCAGCAATAAAGATCATTATGCTCAATTTGAAAGTCTGCTGCTGCATGGGGGTAAAGATATGTAGCTGTGGCTGTGCTCATAATTTGCTTACTTCCATATCACAAAGACGTTTCAGATAGCGACAGACAGGAAGTGAATAATGAATTAATCACAAGCCATTGCTCCAGCAAAATGTTTTTGATCCAGTACAGCTTTGACCGAAGGCATATGACTTATATCAATGTCATAAGAATGACAAAAATATGTGCCTTGCATATTCAGTTAGAGAGAAAATAAACAGAGCCTTTTGTGGTTATGCATCTGTGTCTGTGCTGTAGCATTTTCCATTGCATATGGACAACCAACAGTGGAAATTGTAGACACAGTTAGCCATGCATGTGTACAATATGAGATACACTTGGTTGTTGTTAGATATCACACTTCAAGTCTGTGTTTGTGTAGTCACAAAAACAGACAGCATGCAGTCAGCTGAAATGTAAAGATGTGTTGTGGCACATGTGTCTGATGGACTCGTGACCATCTCATGTCATGACGCAATAAAGGAAGAAATAGAAGAGTCACTGCTTCTTACTATTTAAGAAACTATTTTAATATACTTGTTAATGTTATATATAGTTAATGAAGTATAATTGTTATAAAATAAACAACAATAATTTCGATCCTCGTTCCACTATCATTTTCTATATGACATATGAATGTTTCTGTCCAGGTCTCTAAACTCTCGGCTATGGTGTTGTGTGTCTAATATATACAGTGGTCAACATTTGATTTGGATCATAACCTTTCATCAACCCATAGGACAATTTTGAAAGTCAATTTACTATATCAGAAAAATTGGGTCACATTTGAAATCAAATGGCTGTCAAGTGTTTTTGTTTGTTTTTACTAGTATCCCAACTATAAACACCAATTAAAAATAAAATGTTAATAACTCAAAACTAACATTTGTAAGGATACTTATATATATATATATATATATATATATATATATATATATATATATATATATATATATATATATATATATATATATATATACACACACAAACACACATTTCTATGACTGTAAACCTAAATACAGAAACTGCATCTCTAAGAACTTGGCACATGTGCGTAACTGCAACCCTGTTTATAATGTAAGACATCGTCATCTGTCATTGCTTCAAATACTACGTTAGGCAAGCACTTACCTTTCCAAACTTCTGATGCTGGACGTATAGTTGTCCCTCTTTAACATGACTGTCCATTTTTATAAATATTTTCAGCTGAACAGCAAGATAAACGACAATAATATATTTCTCGCTCTTTTGAGTTTTTCCGATTTCCTACAGTGCGAACTTCCGCTTGACAAACTTTTGGCTCTTGTGCGTTTCGACGGAAAACATTAAGATTATTCTAAGTGTTAAATGATTGTAAGGACAGAGACTGCGCAGTGTTAGAAAATAGTGTTTTTATGCTGCTGGTCCTGCGTTTTGAGACGTTGCCCGTATTGCTGATCTCTCTCTCTCTCTCTCTCTCTCTCTCTCTCTCTCTCTCTCTCTCTCTCTCTCTCCTCTCGAAAGAGGAAACGCGCGCCCACAGCCTTTCCTCCCACCTACTCAAGTCAAAGCTAAGGCCTTCAACTGTTCTCTTGCAAGTTATAACAGCTTTGCGAAATTAATGTTATATTTAATTAATATGTTTTAATTAATTATAATTTTATGCATTTTGTACATCAACGTATACGATTCCTGAATCATTCTTTTGAACACAACAATTATGGTCCTATTATTGGCAAATCCTGAGTGTCCTATTGACTTTTTATATTTAGAATGGAATCCACTGTTTGGTCTAAGCATTTCATCCGTCCTTTTCTCGAGCTCTAGCCTACTTAGTTTGATCACATATTCGTTTGCATAATTAAAGTTCCAACAAGCCTAGTTTATTTTTCTTGTATACTTGATCTAATACTATATGTATCTTGCAAATGTAATCAATTTGTTTTCCTGTTAGAAATTAAATATTGTTTATGCAAATCCCACTAGTTAATATTATCATTATGAAGTTGGTGTAAGGTCAAGTATAGTCTAATATTTTGGAAGCTGAAGTCAGCAATATGCCATAATTTTAAAGCCAAAGATCTAATTATATTGACCTTAAAAACTGTTTTAAACATTTTTGAATATTTTTGTCAAAATGTCCTTGGTCCGTTGAACATAACTTGTAAAATATGCTTTAAAAGAATAAAAAAAATTACAGGAGAGATAAAGTTTTACTTCAACTGTAGGTAGTACTCTTAGGTAATAATTTACAGCATTTAGTTGATTGCAATTTACAGCACTTCAGCCATAAGCCAGACCCCCTTTTATTTCTCAGATAAAAACACACAAAGTTGAGACACAATGGCAAATGTACAATATGTATGTATATATGTATGTATGTATGTATGTATGTATGTATGTATGTATGTATGTATGTATGTATGTATGTATGTATGTATGTATGTATATATGTATGTATCATAGGCTGTAAAATATTGGTATGTATGTATGTATGTATGTATATGTATATATATATATATATATATATATATATATATATATATATATATATATATATATATATATATATATATATATATATGTGTGTGTGTGTGTGTGTGTGTGTGTGTGTGTGTGTGTGTGTGTGTGTGTGTGTGTGTGTGTGTGTGTTGTGTGTGTGTGTGTGTGTGTGTGTGCATGCATGCATGTAGCTTCAATATAGCCATGTATGCATTGGACTGACTTGTTTATTTTATGAAATAATTGCATGAAAATTACAATCTACACAATTCACAAAATAAAATAAAGCATATAATTATTATTTATTTGACATTTTATAAACAGTTAGGCTACATGAAATAGGAAATTATGTTTTTGCATAGGTATGTTTTGTTTTTGTTCGCATGTAAATCTAAATAAATAAAAATAGACATGCAATTGGCCAATATAGTTATTTACCCGTTTCCTCCAATAAATAAATAAAGATCCATTTAGGCTGATAATGCTGCCATCTGTTGGCAAGATTGTGCAAAGGGTATTTTTTCATTTGGGGAATAATTAATTATATATATTTATTTAATTTTAGAAAATATAAAAAAATACATATATGTATAATGTTATCTCATTTCTTATATACATAAAAAAAATATAATTTGGTTGTAAGTCCAGGTTTTTTATGTCAATGTTAAATATAACCTGACGGGGTGTGAAAGTCCGTGAGCTGGAAGTTGAATCTAGGCAGCTGACTGTGAGTGGTCATGTGACTAAGAAAAGGAAGTTGGAGAGACATGAGTGCAGTGTACGGTGGAGTGGAGGGGTGAGTTTTTGACTAAATTGTTATTATTAAAATGGATATTATGCATTTGAATGTCTTTTGAACACAAATACGCTAGTATACGTTTTTGCTATCAGTCGTTGACAATAAGATAAGATGGCAATAGCTTTAGAGAAACGAATGTTGTTTATTTTGAATCACAGTGGTGGGACACACTCTAAAGCAGTTCTGGTTTCTGCTGAGGGTGATATCCTTGCTGAGACAGATGGACCATGTACCAATCATTGGGTGAGATGTGAAACATTTGAAAACAACACGACCGAAGTAACGTTTGCAAATGTAAACGTAAATGTGCCTACAACATTTTCTTTTCTTTTGTAGTTGGTTGGCGTTGATAATTGTATCAGTGGAATCAACGAAATGGTCCAGAGTGCTAAAATTAAGGCAGGGCTGGACCCGGACACACCAATTTGTTCACTGGTGAGGCAATACACAGTCAGTCATACTCAACACGTTTTGATGTTCACCAGGTTGCTCTGACGTTGTCTACATTTTGTGTTAAAGGGTATGTCTTTGAGTGGTGGAGAGCAGAAGGCTGCCATCCAAAAGCTGATTGATGACATGCATGAGAGATACCCTAAACTGAGCCAAAGCTATTTTATTACCACCGATGCCATTGGCGCAATGGCAACTGCCAGCGACTATGGTATTGTGTTGTATTTACAACTCAAAGTACGTTTCAGAGGCTAATTTCCATAGTAACTCTTTTCTCTGTCTTTTTATCGCAGGAGGTATAGTGGTGATTTCAGGCACTGGCTCGAACTGTAAGCTGGTGAATCCAGATGGCACACAGATTGGCTGTGGGGGGTGGGGTCACATGATGGGTGATGAGGGCTCAGGTAAATATACAAAAAGAGAAATCAACTGACAGTATAGCAGTGTATCTTATCTTTGATAGATGATATCTTATCTTAGAAATAAATTCCTTTCTAAGGCTTTGGTCCAATTTACGTCATTTTAACAGCCTTGAGTCTAGTAGTCCAGGTTGCAGAGTAAGTTTCAAATTGACAAACCCAATAAAGGTTTGGATCTGGTTGAGATCAGGGTAAATTGTTTTACAACACTTGATATAAACCAGGAGTGCCCAAACTTTTTCTTATAAAGGGCCAAAAATCAAACTTGAATGAGGGCTGTGGGTAAATACAGCGGGCAAAATAAGTATTGAACATGTCACCATTTTTCTCAGAAAGCATTTATAAAGCTGCTGTTGGCTTGACATATTTTTCATATTTTTTTGTTTGTTTTTGTTTTAATATTTATGTTTGTATTGTTTGTTTGGGTGTGTACCAAAATCTGGTTCAATTCCATGCTCCTTTAGAATATAATACCCAGGGAAAAAAATATGATGTATTCATTACCTAATTACACTGCTGAATACCAAAATGTATTATTACATTAAGTTTCCATGCTATATAAATGATATGATTATTTAAATATAAATTGATTCATTTACAAATCAAAAGATTATGTTAATTTCAAAATTACAATATCCATCAAAGATGTTCACAATAACCACCTGCCTATCATCCTCCCTCTCTTCTTAAATGGGATGGTGGGCCAAATCAAAAGGTTAGCATGGGCCAACTTTGGCCAGCGGGCTCTAGTTTGTTCATCTTTGATATAAATGTTCTCTGTCAACTCGGTTTAACTCAGGTTTAACAATTACCACTTGGAGCGCATACACACGAAAGTGTGACATGCAGTAAACAGCCAATCCCACAAGACATTAGAGAGTCAGAACAATTTGTTTCTCTGTTGAAGATCAATAGATATCATTATCAAAATTATAAAAAATGTAAACAAATTAACAAGGCAAAAATGAACACTGCTACAGAATTTTGAAAAATTGATGTTGGAAATTAATCATTTATTCTAATAATGTAGGTTCACAAACAGCTCATAAGATTGATTTTAAAAGCTTTATAAATTAAATGTTATTTCACTCTTAATTGAAAGTGTTTGAACATATATAAAGTATAAACAAACATAATTATTATAAAAAATTATAACAACAAAAAAAATCTTTTGACAAAAGCTTTTAGCATAAAAAAATAAAATAAAAATCTTAGTATCGTTTTTGGAGCTAAAAAAAATCGTAGTATCGTTTTTTTTGTTCCATGTGGTATTGTTAGTGTGTGTGTGTGTGTGTGTGTGTGTGTGTGTGTGTGTGTGTGTGTGTGTGTGTGTGTGTGTGTGTGGTGTGTGTGTGTGTGTGTGTGTGTGTTTGTTTGTTTGTTTGTTTGTTTGTTTGTTTGTTTGTTTTAACCAGGTTTGTAATCTCTTACCCAGAATAAAACCTGCTCTGGAGCAGGTTAGCTGTATATCTTATATATACGTATAGATGTAATCTTACTGAATATTATGATTTGGTGATAAACACTTTTCATTATTTACATTAAAATGATTAAGCTTCTTGTTAATGTTGTGAAAACCAGGAGTCTTTTATAAGTTGTTGAACAAAACAATTTATTAGAAATGTAAACCTAATCTAAATTAAAAGCCATCTTTACTGTCACTTTTCAACAAACAATTAGTTTATTTCTGTAAAAAAAATGACAGATCCCAGACTATTTTTGTAGTATTTATTCATTTTTAATTTTACTCATCAACACTCTGTTGGGATCAGTACTCTGTATCAGATATTTCTAAACTGATCACACAAGACAAATGTTATTTCTAAATGTGAATGCAGCCTAAGGTAGCTCTTTATCTCTTCTGGTAGCATACTGGATTTCTCACTTGGCTGTCAAAACCGTTTTTGATGCAAGAGATAATCTTGTCACATCCCCTCATGATATCACCTATGTTAAGAAGGCCATGGAGGATTATTTTCAGGTTAGAACTATTTATTCAGTTGATTTATATCTTATGCTTAATTTGATAATGGAATTGATAAGCTCTTTTGTTTTCATGTGTTCATCCCCAGGTTTCAGATTTGATGGGGATGCTTCCTCATTTGTACAGAAACTTTCAGAAGTCACACTTCGCAGGGTTCTGTAGGAAACTAGCTGAAGGTATGCTGCTGCATTATGTCTACAGTGAATTTTCAGTGCATCCTGAAAGTATTCATAGCGTTTGACTTTTTCCACATTTTTTTATGTTACGGTCTTATTCCATAATGGATTAAAATAATTTATTTCCTCAAAATTCTACACACAATACCCCATAATGACAATGTAAAAAATATATGTTTTAATTGTTGCAAATTTATTAAAAATAAAAATTACATGTACATAAGTATTCACAGCCTTTGCTCAATACTTTGTTGATGCACCTTTGGCAGCAATTACAGCATCAAGTCTTTTTGAATATGAAGCTTGGCACACTTGTCTTTGGAAATCTTTGCTCATTCCTCTTTGCAGTACCTCTCTAACTGTCAAGTTGGGTGGGAAGCGACGGTGTACAGCCATTTTCAGATGTTCAATAGGATTTAAGTCTGGGCTCTGGGTGGGCCAAACAAGGACATTCACCAAATTGTTGTGAAGCCACTCCATTGTCCTGCTGGAAGATGAACCGTCGGCCCAGTCTGAGGTCAAGAGCAGTCTGAAGCAGGTTTTCATTTAGGATGTCTCTGTACATTGCTGCATTCATCTTTCCCTCTGTCCTGACTAGTGTTCCGGTTTCTGCTGCTGAAAAACATCCGAACAGCATGATGCTGCCTCCACCATGCTTCACTGTAAGGGTGGTATTAGCCTAGTGATGAGCGGTGCATGGTTTTCTCCAAACGTAATGCCTGGCTCAACAGACCAGAGAATTTTGATTCCTATGGTCTGAGAATGCTTTGGATGCCTTTTGGCAAATTCCATGGGGGGAGGCTTCTGTCTGGCCACTCTACCCTACAGGCCTGATTGGTGGATTGCCACAAAGAGGGTTGTCCTTCTGTAAGGTTCACCTCCATTCAAAGAAGAATTCTGGAGCTCAGACAGAGTGACCATCGGGTTATTGATCCCCTCCCTGACTAAGGGCCTTCTCCTTCAATCACTCAGCTTGGATAGCTGCCAGCTCTAAGAAAAGTCCTGGGGGTTCCAAACATCTTCCACTTACAGATGATGGAGGCCACTGTGCTTTTTGGAACTTACAGAGCAGCAGAAATTTTTCTGTAACCTTCCCCAGCCTTGTGCCTTGAGACAATCCTGTCTCGGAGTTCTACAGACTATTCCTTTGTCTTCATACTTGGTTTGTGCTTTGACATGCATTGTCAACCCTGGGACCTTATATAGACAGGTGTATGCCTTTTTAGATCATGTCCAGTCTACTGAATTTACCACCGTTGAACTCCAATTAAGCTGCTGTAAAATCTAAAGAATGATCAGTGGAAACAGAATGTACCTGAGCTCAATTTACTGCTTCATGGCAAAGGCTGTAAATACTTATGTACATGTGATTTTCAGGTTTTTTTATTTTTAATCTTTTTTCACATTGTCATTATGGGGTATTGCGTTTAGAATTTTGAGGAAATAAATTTATTGAATACATTTTGTAATAAGGCTGTAACATAAAATGTGTAAAAAGAGAAGCGCTATGAATACTTTACAGATACACTGTATGTGTATGGTTTGCCACATATTATGACTTTTTGTGTTTGTCTTTGCATCAGGTGGGAATGCTGGGGATGCTTTGTGCCAACATGTGTTCAGAGAAGCTGGAAAAGTGCTTGCACAGCACATTGTAGCTGTCCTGCCTGAAGTACACCAGGTCCAAAATTTATCACAAAAATAGAAATACATCAGTTCTTACTTGCAGTTTCTTTTTCTTGTCATTTAATAACTGTCATGTCTTGATCATTCAGGATCTGTTTCGTGGTGAACTTGGCTTGCCTGTTTTGTGTGTCGGTTCAGTGTGGCGCAGCTGGGAACTAATGAAATCTGGTGCGTGCTTTTTAACTTCCTTTTCCACTTTATTTTTCACGTAAAAGCAGTTGTGGCCATTTTAACGTAAATGTGTGAAGATTCTGGGTCTCATACACTTCCACTGATTTTTAGCCATACAAAACTGCTGTATTATCTTAGCATGTTATTTTGATTTTAATGTATTGTCATTAACTCACCAGTTTGTAGCACAAGTAGTTTGACCATTTACTGCCATTTGTTATTTGTAATCATATGCTTATGAATCCGAAGTCCTAACCCATTTACAGAGAAAAGCTTGCTTCCTCATTGCAAATTAGGAAAAGGTTTTTATAATTGATCTCACATTCAAGAATTGCATTTTTGACAATAGATGTGGAAAATGGTAGTAATAATACAGCAATTTTATTTTAACTGTTTGATTTCCAAAATTATATTGCAATGTATTATAGAATCAAATTTATTATCAATATTTTAATGATTAGCTTGGGGAAAAAAAACACAGATTTTGGACAATGAAACTGAAACGCCTGATTTTAGACCACAATAATTCATTAGAATGGTGTAGGGCCTCTGCTACAGCAATATGCGTTCCTAAGCGATCTTGCATCTTTGTGTTCTCGTGTAATGCATCATCAACCACCAAAGTTTAGTTCCAATACTCAAGAACGGAGGACGCCTGAAAGTTCCTGCCCGTGTTCTTGATATCTAGGACGCACAGATGCAGACTTGAGCACCAAACTGGCTCAAGTTCCAGAAGTCATTGCGGCTGAATAAAGGAGGTGGGAACCCCATCGTTTTATTATTAAAGTTTAGACATAATTTAACTTAAAGTTCAACTTAAATGACCCATAAACTCTCATTAACACACATACACTAGGGACCATTGTTTTTCTTACCCAATTTACCTGTACCACATGTCTTTGGACTTGTGGGGAATACTGGAGCTCCTGGAGAAAACCCACGCAAACGCAGAGAGAACATGCAAACTCCACTGACCCAGGCGAGGCTCGAACAAGCGATTTTCTAAAAATAATCGTTAAGACATGAAATTTTAATAAAGCCATAAGGGAGTTCTTATTTGCTGTAATTTGTATTGTAAAAAATATATTTGTAAGGTTTTTGTGCATGCTATATACATTGAAAAGGGAATAAACAATAAGTCATTGTATAAATGTTTAAATAATTGTCTGTTAAAACACATGATGGTCACGTGACCACAAGGGAGAACAGCAGCATCTCATTTCTCACTGGACGTGTTCTCCGTTCTCGCGGTCTTCCGAGTTCGTTCTCCCGAGGTGACCTGGGAAGACCACTCTCCACTAGAACACAAGTGTGTTCTCTGCATTCTTGGAATTGAAAAAAAAAGCCTGTCTACTCACTGGCATGCTTGATGATTAGGTTCAGCTGATATTGGCTCTCCTACAGTGCAGTTATTAGTATGCCCCATAGGTGGCAGCACAACAGCTGCCAAAAAACATGGACCAAAAAGTAATATAAATTCAAATAATCATGCACAATTTCTGGGTCTGAGAGCGTCCTTTACGTTGATTTCAAAAGCTGAGAGGCTAAACTAGAGAGATATACTTAATGACACAAAAAATGTAATAAATAAATAAAAACATTAAGACAAATGTTTTAAAGACAAAAGACAAAAAGTTCCTTAAAATGTGTTTTATTTTCCAATTAAAAACATACCTTCTTTACAATTAATAGTATTGATTTGATTTAGATTTTAGTCTACAAAGAATAGTGTCCCCGTTCACCCCTCTCTCTCTATCTGTGAATAGCAGCCATCACAGCAGCAATTTGTCTTGGGAATAGCAGATACAAGTCCTGCACAGTGGCCAGAGGGATTTTGCGCCATGCTTTTAGCAGAATAGTGGCCAGGTTGCTACGTGATGCTGGTGGGGAAAAAATGTTTCCTGACTCTCTCCTTCAAAACACCAAAAGTGGCTCAATAATATTTACTTCTGGTACATGTGCAGGCCATGGGAGATGTTACCTTTTACATTCATCAATCCACTCTGTCACCAGTCTTGCTGTGTCTGTTGTTGCATTATCATCCTGATACACGACACTGCCTTCAGGATAAAATGTTTGAATCATTTTGTCACAGAGGCAATAGCGAGACACAAAGTATTTGTCCTCTGTTGAACTCTAATATGTCACCCATGTTGTTTGCATTGCAATATTTTATGCAAAACTGTGCTATTCTCTGTTTAATCAAGAGTATTTATAATAAAATCTAATTAAACCTTTACACTCTCCTCTTACTGCTGGAATGAAGAATCAGTGAAGATTGGCTACCAGGCTGGTCAAATTTAGCTATGAAGCTTCCAGGACTAAATCGGCCAGTGCCAGTTTCCTTGTCCAACCCCACTGTATATACAATCCCAAATCAGAAAAAGTTGGGACAGTATGGAAAAAGCAAATATAAATTTGAATGAAATGAATTCATATATATATATATATATATATATATATATATATATGGAAATCAGTGTTTGTTTACAGATTTTCAAGGTTATTGAACATTGTTTTCTGTAATAAACAAAACTCAATATTGGTTTGGAACAAGTGAAGGGTGAATAAATTCTGACATTCACATCCAGTTGTAAATGTGTTTTTATTTATTTTATTTTTTCCACAGGTTTCACTCAGGTCCTCTCACAGGCTCAGTCTCATGATTATAGTCACTTCCGGAAGTACAGTCTGCTTACTTTACGTCAGTCCTCTGCTCTGGGTGGAGCTAAAATGGGGGCAAAGAACATAGGAACCACCCTTCCTCTGGACTACTCTGCCAATGTCAATATGTTTTTCAGCCATACCTTCACTCAGTGATGATATTTGAATTCAGTTTTATTTTGATTAAGTGAAGTAGAAACTTCCTGTTTTTACACTAATACACACTATTCTTTTGGGGGTGCTGTTTCTCAAACCCATTTTGTATCATTCAGTTTTGTAATTTATATAGATTCTTCAGGACATGAAGGATATTTTTTCTTGTTCTTTTGTAGGACAGGAGGTAGTTTAACTATTCAAATGAGGTCCTTATAAACATCTATCACGAAGTAAAAAAAGTTCCAAGATCATCCAAGTAATCACACACTGTATAAAAACAAACAAACTTGTAGAATAGGTTATTTGAATAATTTCTTTTTTTTTTTCATCTTGTGGACTATTTTTAAACATCTTACTCTGGAACAGTACTAAAAATGCATTTGTTCTGATCTCACTTATTTTTTTTTAACATTTTCACAGATTTCACAAAATTTTGCATGCCACTAATAGCATAATATAAATAGACTTCAAAATTATTTGAATCCATACTGTTTAATGTATGCACAGTATATGATTGTTTGATTTTTTTTTGTTGTTGTTGTTTTTTAATATTTGTATTGTGATGATCTATGTAATGTCTTTGGTAAATAAGGGAACTTTATATATTTTGATATATGTATATATTGGAATTATTGTGTAAATAAATATTTGCAAAAGCACTTATTGTCATCAAACATTTTGGTAAAGATAATTTTATTAAATTGTTGTAAATGTGTGATGTAACAATTTGCAGTTTCTGTGTGAAAGAAGATTACGTACAGGTGTAGCCTAATACTTTACACATATGCTGATATCAAATAAGAAGCTAAATAATCAAGTATCCAATCTGTATTTTGTCACTAACTGTAGATTACCTGTTGTACCTGATTAAAATATTCAAATTCTAGGAACCAAAACACATGCTGTACATAATTCTCACTTGACTATTGGTATTTTTACAATAATGCTGTGAAAACCACCACTGACCTATCTTAAACTGTCGTGAACTGTCCTTCCCAAAACCATCCGTAGCCAACTATGGTCGCAAGTTCTGTCATTACAAACATAGTTCAGCAATTTGGTGTTTCCCAAATCCATTGTAGCAACAAACATTTGCAAACAGAAAAAAAACTCATACTCATTTCAAATAAGAAGCAATTTATTAACTGCACTGCATTGTTTTACCCATTTTCTCTTAAATGAAAACTAAAAGACTTGATTTAGCTACAGTCATGGCTGTTGAAGTTGGCGCAGAGTTGAGCACGGCTTAAGCAATAGGTCTGATGTACTTGCTGATCACTCTGCTGCTTTTGATAACGAGAAACTTAATTTGGCGATACCCTTTGCCAAAATGTTCAGCAAAAAGTCTTTCCTCTAAATTTTCTAAAATAACCAAGAAGTGGAAACTATTGGGGAGTTCACTGACATCTTTAACGCCATTCAAACAGTTTCTGTTAAACAAGATGCTACTTTCTAAAAATGTATTACTATTGAGGACTCGACTGATGGTACAATGAAAGTCGTCGACAAATTGTCTTTTGTAGTGCATAGGCTTGTTTTTGATGTCAAGGAACATTCGGAAAAGACACCTGACATTGGTGCAAGCTCTGTGATGCACTAAATGTTATGCACCATGTTGGGAGACAAAACCAGGATGGAGGTCAGTGAAGCATCATCATGAGGTCAGGGGTGAACTGGCTGGGTCGACATACTTTTTGGGCCACAAAGCTTCTTATGATCTGATTTTCTCATAAAACTCTTAACAGCCTATTGTTTTTTTTAATGCCTGATTAACAACACTTGAAAGGCTGCAAAAGAAGACAACGCATACCGGAAAGAATCTCACCTGTGCATTTCAAAAGCATTGACTCCTGTAGATGCTGCTGCGTGTACAAAGTTATGGCCAATCATCAAAAAATTAAGTGAGGAGGGTAAGAGACATCCTTGTTCTGTCCCTTTGCGTTCGTTGATGGTCAGAAGATTGAGGTCTTATAAACTTTAAACTGAAATATTACATTTAATTTTATTTCTTTTCACGATTTTATGAAAACATTACAGATTAATCACTTTCTACCCTTTTTAAAGGAGTTTAGTCAGCTTCTTAGCCAAAGAACTCTTATTGTTGCTGGCGATTTGCTGGTTCTGTGTTACACTGCATTAAATTCACTTGTTTGTTATGTGTTCTTTTGAATTTTCCTTGTTTATCTTAGCCTTTCTTAATGCTCATGATTAAGAAGATCATACGAAAAGAAAAGCTTTATTTTAGTATTGTAAGCATACTAATGCAAATAAAAAAAAGTCAAAAAAGCCATTCTGGTGAGACGGGTAAAACAAAAATCGGCAAACAAAGTGGGGACATTTAATTTTTATTAGTCGTGGTTCTAATCGTTCAACTGGTACTTTAATTTTTATGCACAAGTTCAGAGAGGGGTCTGGATACAGACCTGGGGCCTCATGTATTAACGCTGTGTACCCACAAAAACTTTGCGTACGCCAGATTTCATGCTCACGTTTGGATGAAATTAACGTGAGAATGTACATTGGTCCACGCCAACTTCATGTCTAGTGTACGTGTATTTCTTGTGAGTGTTTGTTTTATTTCATTATGTTAAATTGCAAACTACAAAGTATCGCACCAACATAAGTGAAAAACATTGCTATTTTTTTATATATATATATATATCTATAATAAAATGGATTAATTGACACAATATAAATGGGCAATATCACACTCATAGCAGTGAGATATGGCTGTAAATCAGCACTGATGGGAGGCATGCGTTGACATGAGGCGGCAGGCCGAGTGCCTTAGTGTCCCACCATCTTCCCTTTTAAGGTGATCAAGTGTAACCATAGCGCATCGTTTGTTATTTGGTAGTTTCGACCTTGCATTGAAAGGAAGTGGCATTTCGTAGTGACCGTGAATGTATTTGTTTAGGCTGGACTTCAACCTCTGAAGAAAGAGAATATCATCTTGGGATACTATGACAGTTTCTTCTTCTAAAACTTTAAAGTCACTGACAAGGACCTGTATAATGTTGGCAGGTGTGATGGAAGAAAGCTACTTAACCGCTTTGTGGTGACACAATCTCATCAAATAAGTCAGAGCGTGATCAACAATCTACTACATTCTATCAAAGATCTATTTGAATGGCATAGGGCTGCTATCACTTCTCGGGGAATAATTGATCTTGAACAGTTGTAGCCGATTAGTAGGCTGACATCACAATCCAGGAGGGGAGGTATTTTGTACGATAAGATGTTTCCAATGTTCAGCAACCTCACTTGCAATATGGCTGCGATTTGCTGGATTACAATCTTGGTATATTAAGTGTGATAAATTGATATAGTCACTAGACTAACAGTGCATGTGAAAAGAATTCATAGCGCTTCACTTTTTCCACATTTTTTATGTTACAGTTTTATTCCAAAATGGATTAAATTAATTTATTTCCTCAAAGTTCTACACACAATACCCTATAATGACAATGTGAAAAAAGGTGTACAGCCATTTTCATATCTCTCCAGAGATGTTCAATGGAATTTAGGTCTGTGCTCTGACTGGGCCACTCAAGGACATTCACTGAGTTGTTGTGAAGCCATCTATTGGCATTTTGGCGGTGTGCTTTGGCTCATTGTCCAGTTGGAACGTCGCCCCAGTCTGAGGTCAAGAGCAGTCTGAAGCAGGTTTTCATTGAGGATGTCTCTGTGCATTGCTGCATTCATCTTTCCCTCTATCCTGACTAGTCTTCCAGTTCCTGCTGCTGAAATATCAAGCTACCACATCACTAATCAAAAATGGGTTTGGTTGTATGCCTTCGACACTGAATACATGGCCTAGGAAAGGACCTCTTCTTTAAAGGTGCAGCAGGTGATCTGCCAAAATGTTAACAGCTTAGCATATTATCTTTGGATGGCGGGAAGGGACTGCGATTTAAAGCCACACCCCCTGAAATCACGAGCGCGCGCACCACGTCACAACAGCAGGCAGACAACCCACTAGTTCACGTCATTCGCCAGTTAGTTAGTGTTTAGCCAGCGCCGAGCAGGAATTACATTTATTACTTAGCCACACTTACATGCTATTTCAGAGTGAATATTCAGAGTAGCATGGTAAACAGTATAGGAAGGCTGTCATTGTTCAAAAATTACACAATGTGAATATAAAAGCAACTTCAGCTTAATAAAGCAGGTTAGGCGGAATAGCGGTATTTACTGATGTTTTGTTGTTAAACTAAATATAAATCGATATTATCGATGCTGTAAAAGGATCCTTATGAAACTAATAATAATCACATCAATCTTTCACCGGGAGATTTCAGTGGCTGAACAACACGTCTGTGCATATAAGTCATTCATAACAGAACACAATCTAACATAAGCTTAAACTAATTAGCCTGACTAAAATAGTTTGAAAACAGAACATTACCTGTCTAACAGTAATACTTCAGCCATGGTGTGGCCCTTCCTCCAGCGTGCTAAAGTAACTCCAATATTGATTCAGGTTTTTAAAAGTTTCAATTCAGCATTTGATTTCTCCCGGTCTGTTTCGTGACCACGCGGCGCTTCTGCAGATGGGTATGCGCGAATAGCGGATCTGCGCAAGTGGTGCTCGCTGCAGAGCCATTTGGGTGAGCTGAGCTCCAGCGAGGGGGAGCTTGAGCTTGAGCTCCACCTTTTTTGCACTTCTTCTACGAGTGATGTCACTGGGGGTAGGGTTAGGGGTGGGGTTGGTGTACGCATTAAAACAGCTTACAGGAGGCAGAACGAGAGCTCATGCTCCCCCTCGCTGGAGCTCAGCTCTGCTCAAATGGCTCTGCAGCGAGCACCCTCTCGAGCTGCGTGAACAGATGCGCAGAGGTCCGAATCTACATTTGCTGACAGACAGTCTGAGCTGCTTATCGAAATTATGGGAGATGTCAATCCAACAATATTTAATTGGATGAATTTTTTGTTTTGTTTTATGCTTTACCCAGAATATAAATATTTATATAAACACATTTAGATCATTTACTGTAATCATTACTTTTGGACTGTGAAGAGACTTTCAACCAGCACAGCAAAAAATGTTTCTGAAGACAATCACCTACTGCACCTTTAACCAGGTGACACTTAGATGGCTTTAGCTTTCATACATAGCTGAAAAAGGCACTGGAAAACAAGTTGATCAAGGCTCTCATCGACCCCTTTGCCTAGGAGGATGATGTTGATGATTATGAAGTAAATTAAGAGATTCGCACTAAAGCCATCGGAGAACAAGCCATTGCTCTTTGGAATCTGCCTGGAACATTGCACAAGCCAAAGAGCATATGAGTGTACTCATAAAGGACATAGCGAGTGATGAAGGCCGTCTTTGCTCTGTCCATTTCATCTGTTGCAATTTGCCAGTAGCCTGGAGGTCTACGGTAGAAGAAACAAAACTCCACCAGGGACTTGAAGGCATTCCTTGATTTTGGGGAGAGGATAAGCATCCTTGTCAGTCAAGCTATTAAGGCGCCTATAGTCAACACACCAGCGAACACCTCCATCTTTTTTACGTACTAACACTACAGGTGATGCGCACTCCGAAGTAAAAGATGTTATGACTCCTTCCAGCATAGCATTGAGATACCTCTCCTCTTCCTCTTATCCAAGGGTAGTCCGCCTGACTGGCTGGCGTACTGGCCCAGCAACTCCTGTG